CATATCTATATATCCTGGATGATGGTCAACATCTGCCTTGAATTTTCACTCTTTATTCAAAACTTTTTTTGGTTTGGTCCAAGATTCTTCAGCACTTTTCAGATTCTCTTTTACCCTCCTTACTTCTACTAACTAGCCTCAATTGTTTTGTAAAATAACCAAATACTGAAATCACTTGATAAGAAGAACTATGCCTTGGAATACAAACAAAGAGCTAGTTTCTTTCACAAGCTAAGTGACTTTGCTCACTCAGACCAACCCATGATGCCATTAGCCAAATTACAAATCAGACAAAGTCATGGGCTTTTGGGGTCATTGGATGACAGGCATGTCTGCAGACAATATACTAAGAATGCTGACAGTATATCACAGTTATAGGCTGGAGTAGTTTAGACTATGGTGGTTCAGAGGAATGAAAGCACAGTGTGATCCTGAGTTGCTGGATAAGGCAAATGGAAGAACAATGTGGGACTTGTCTTTGAAGATGGGTCAGATACAGATGAGGGAAGTATGAGGTAAAAAGGCCTTCCACAAAGGGGAAAGGCATAAGGAAAAGCTGAAAACATCTACTGCTTAGTAAGAACACATAGAGGAATGGTGTGATTAGTAAGGGAAGTGATTGTGCTGGGGGTGAGAAGGTAAAGAGGATAAAGTAAGATATAAAAGTCCTTGAAATCCGACTAAGTTGAGATCCAACTCAGGGGGTCATTTACTTTTTGATCAAAGGAATGGCTTGACAATATTGGTACTTTGAGAAAAAATAACAGGAAAGGAACACGTAGGATAAATTAAAGAGAAGAGAGACTACTTTGTTTTATAGCAATGGAATACTTAAATTTTTAGTTTTCTTCTTTTTTTTCAATTTCAACTTCAGGTTTTTGTAAAGTAATTTCTTCAAAAACATTTTTAGTGTGGTTAGTCACCAAAACAACTTTTTCTAGTTTTTTTCCCTGACCAGGAGGGAAAGGCTGCAGAAACATGTTTTGTTCCACGTGGAAGGCAAGAGGTGCTCATGGCTGTGTGTCCCTGAGTGGACATGACAGGAGGCACTGACTGCCACTGCTAGGCTTCCTTTTAACACGGCTTAGTTGTTACTGTCATGGCCAGACCCTTTGCTGTCTCCTCTTAGGCATGCTTTATTATATTTTCTCATATATAATGATTAATGAGTAGTAAAACTAATAACTTGGGGAACACACAAAATAAATGAGGTGGCAAATATGAAAAGGAAGTCCCCACTTAATGTTGTTGTGAAATCTGACAACATGCTGGAATTTACCCATAACTCAGCTCAAGGAGTCTTTGCCAGCGGGAAACAAGGTTATAAGAAGGTGATATTTCCATTAATAACGATCCCCTTGAGAAGCCCATGACCAGTCTTTCTTTCACTGAAATTCTTGCTGGATTTCAGTAAAGGGTCAAGGTACGCTGAAATACAGTAGATCCCTGGTGTCTGTAGGTGTATGGTTCCAAGGAGACTGCTGTTGAGGGAAGCCCATGAATTCTCAGGATACATGAAGTTCAGTGCTGTACCGTTGATGCTGGATTCTTTTTTTCTCTTAGCGCTGCCCAACTTCCACTAAAGACCTGATGCCTTCCAGCAAATTTTAAAATTCTACTTTATCACTTCAATTAGGCACTTTAATCTTGCTTTTGGGGCACTATCTGCTTTTTGAGAGGCACATTTTTACAAAATTAAGGGTAGGGAAACACTAAGCAGATTACATAATTCAAACACAACTGATGATAACTTGGGACTGACTGAGACTTCTCTGTATCAATGGAATGCATGTGTGGGTATTTAAAATTTTTGTTCTTGAAATTTCTTTTGATTTTTTTTATTTATTACTTTTTTTGACTGCCCTTGGCAAATATCTTTTGTAATAGAGCCATGAATAAGGTAAAATTATTGTAATGCTTTACTTCAGGGAAGCTCCTGGAGAAACAGGAAATTTACATTACAACTGCAGTTATTCTCAACTGTTCCTTTGATATCCCCCTGGTGTTACATTCATTCTTTTTTTTTTTTTTTTCCCCAACCCAGTATCCTTTATCCTTTCTGGAAGGAGCATCCTGATTTTCCTGGGGATAACTATGGCTTCCTGACTCACAGAGTCCCTGTGACCCAGACATGACTTCTCAGTGATTCCCCCCTCCCGGTTAGTTCAGAGATAGGCAATGCTAGCCAGAACTAATGCCAGGAGAGTCTTCTTTATTACTGGGGTTATTGGGTAGGAGAGCCTGGAGTTCAAAGAGAGGAGCCAGAACTTTAAGAGCGAACACAGATATCAAGGCACTGTATCTGACCACACCTCTAAACATTTTAGTTGCGTGAGTTAGCAAATTATCTTTTTCGCAAAAGCCAATTTGAAATTCATTTCTTTCAATTATAACTTTAAAAGTCTTGATTTAATTTCATCCATCTCTCACTCATATAATAATACATATCATCACCAGTTGCTTCAACTTAGTTCAGATGGACACTTTGGGAGCAGGGAACATTGTTGGTGAAGGACTCATGAATACAGAGCTTACCTCCCTTGTGAGAAAACTCTCTGACACTAGCTATACACAGGCATGTTCTAGTCTAGTCTATGCCTGATGAGTTCTACGAGAGACAAACTCCCCAACATTGAGAAGAGTTTATTAAATTGATCTGTTTAGCCTGACCCCTGACTCCTCTGTGAAGAGAGAGGACCATTTTCCAGATTGCCAGAAATCACTATGGGACAGGCTCTGCTAAATGCTTTATACCCAATCCATAACCCGAAGGAGGGGCCGCTACCATGATCTGCATTTTGTAGATGTCAGCCTCTCAGAACAGAAGCCCCAATTCTGCCCCAGACATTGTAGGGCCCTATTTTAGTACTTACTTATGATAAAAATTAAAAAACACAGAGCTTTTATACAAAGCATACACACATACACACACACACATCAAAAAAAATGGACATTTGGTTCACTGCTAATACTTCCATAAAAATAAGCTTTTTTTTGTTATTTTAAAATTGACTTAGAGCAAACAATGTACTGTATTTTATAACTCCCGCCTTATTCTGGGTAAGAATTTAGAAAGGAGCTTGTGATACATCATTAACTAATTTTTCTCATCATCTGATAGCTGAGTTATTGGCACTAGATATAGCCATGGGGGGAAAAATAAATGTTTATGATGATTTAAAAGACCAATTATAAGCCTCTGCGTTATTCCTTACTCAGCGTCCTGCACAGCATGTAAAAATGGTGATGAAAAAACAGACTACA